TCCGCCGGGCTCGGCGGCTGCCTTTCCTCTCGGCGGCTGTCGAGCGCTTCCACACGCCCGAGTTTGGCTGGGCGATTTCTCCGCCAAAGGCGCCCCGAACCCCTTCGGGAGGGTGCCGGAGGGCTGCCGGGGGAGCCCGGCTGCCTTTTGGGCCGGTTTGGGGGGGGTTCCGGCGGGGCTTTCCCCCTCCCGCCCTCGGCACAGGTTGTTGGGTCGGGACAGCAAACGAAAGGGGATTTAGTAACAAACAACGGCGGCCATGTTGAGAGGAATTTCTGCAGCTAAACTTCTCCCCTCTCAGCCCAGGGATTTCTCTCCCTCTCTGGGGGGCTCCCTGGCCTGACTTTGTGTCCCCCTCTTTTCTCTCTCTCCTCCCTGACAGGATGACAGTGAAACTGGGAGAGAGCAGCGGGGAGGAAGGGGTGAAAAAGCTGGGCAAGAGAGCAGGAGGAGATGAGGAGTCCCTGGAAGAAGAAGGGGCAGGAGGAGGAGGAGAGGCAGCTCCAGGCAGCAGCAGCACAAAGAAAGAAGAGAAGATTATTAACAACAACACTAACAGCAGCCCCCCACCGAACCCCAGCTTATCGCAGGCCCCGGCCTCCCTCCAGCCCTCCCACAGCCAGGACCAGCATCATTTTCTCAGGTCCAGTGTCAGACCTCAGAGCAAGAGGCTGAAGAAGGATTCCCAGGCATCCTCTTCAGTTGGCAGCAGCACTGCTGCAAAAGGCAAAGGTACTGTATTTTGGCACCCTTAAAACATGCGGGCGAGGGGGTTGGCGGGGGGGGGGAGTCACCTGTGGGTTTGGGGGTTGTCATTCTCCTCCTGTGGATGCCATCTTTTGTTTGGTTTTGGGGAAGGTGTTTTGGGGCTTGTTTCTCACAGTAGCTGAAATCTTCTTTGTGTCCCAAGGCTTCAGCTTCCTCTTTGCGCTTGCAGAAATGGGGGGTTTGGATGTTTATGTGGAGAAGGAAAAAATCTCCGTTATTGAAGCAAACCAAATTCTTGCATTTCATCTCTCTTGAGTTTTAGGAAATCCCTGTATTTTGGTTAGGAAATTAGACTCTAGCTAACTGTGTAATCAGATGGCTGCACTCTGAATTCTGTTCTTGGATAATAAAATATTCACTGGGTGCTAGTTAAAAAAAGGGGGAAAAAACAACCCACAAGACATTGGTGATTTCCCCCAATTCTTTCTATGACCACTTTACCCAAAGAACTATTTTGGAAACAGCTATGAAATACACATATTGACATATTTGTCTCTAAGATTTTGAGTCCTGCATTACTGTTTCACAGCAGTTTGGGCATCTCCATGTAATCTGAGTTTTTATTAAGATTGTTTTGTGTACATCTGAATGTCTGTATGTACATACATACATACACATGCTTTTTCACTTTAACATTGTAGATAAGAATTTGATTTTTTTTCAAAGCTGTTTCTTACTTGAGTAGCTAGAAGACAGCAGGGATATTTGAATATCTTGCTGCTATTGTGTGTGCTCAGCAGTTACTGGATGACACCTGGCACTGTAGTTGAGCTGTAGTTGAGACTAATTTTGGATACCTT